GTAATCTTTTTATGTAGAAGCGTTTTTGATAGTTCAAGCAAGTCATTATTACTGTTTTAAATGGAACGATCCTAAGATTTAATTTACATCGATTCCTCAGAATATTCAGCGTAAAAAGTTGTACGAGTAAAATAGACAAAAATGGAATACAAAATATTTTATGCTTTAATCTGACGTATTTCAACATAAAATATCTCGTAAATATTTCTTCAAATCTTCATGAAATAAATCATCTCATCAGTAATCTTTTTCAGAAAAGAGAAATGATGGTACATAAGTAAATACATAAAAGACGTACATATTAGATTGGATCAAATTTAATGTGAAATTATAAGAAATACATTTTACTTGGGTTTTTTGAATTTGTGAAATGTAGGATAAAATAAAGATTGCGCTCATGTCCACAATTTCTTTTAATCGGTTACGTATATATAATGTTACATTTTTATGAATATCTTTACACAATTAGTCGTGATTAAATAATATTAATTTTGTGTATTTATTTCAAAGATAAACTTCTTTTTCAGATATTTTATGGGCTTCGTAAAATAATCGAATGTTAAGGTATAATTCTATAATATTTTTGCACAACTGACTGCGATGATTATCTAAAATGTCTTGAGATAATATATGATTATCCATCACATTCTTGAATGTTGACGGAAACTCCAGTTCCCCTACATTAGGAATAACTAATGTGGAAGCTGGAGGAATATCAATAGAAGGCATTGATCCTGTAAAACAATAGCATAACGTTAAACCAAAGTTGTAACAATTCTCTTGTCAGTATTTACTACCCTCAATAAAAAACAATTTTTATGTTTCAAACTTACGTGTTTCATCAATTATATTCTCAGATGTTGACTGGAACTGCAGTTTGGCAGCTGGAGAATTTGGAACATTAATGGAAGGCACTGCTCCTGGTTTCAATAACCACTTTCTGCAACACAGTTCTATGCTATTTTTATAATCACTCGGTACAAAGTGATCGGAGCAAATGTGTATATACATCACATTGTCCTTGTCAGATAATTTGCAGGCATGCAACCACTGTGCCCGAATGCTCACCTCTTTTGGAAATCTACAAATAATTATTATTTATTCCATCATGCTGTTAACTGCTTGATAATCCAATCATGTGTTACAGTAAATCTAATGTAATAATGCTATGCAAATAAGTTGAATTAGAGAAAATAAGTATAACATTTTATAAATACACATTTTACGTGTAAGATATTTACTTGTGCATTGCAAAATTTCCATCCTTTGCTGCCTTTTTCTGACACAAAAAACAAATTCGCACCATTGCACAGATCACGAATATAGGTTATGTGAAAATATCGCCTAAAGGTGCCTACTGATGGACGCGGCAAGTGCCG